TGAACTGAGGTGGAAATTTAGACATCTTGCCAATGGAACAAGACAACTTGCATTAAAAATAAGATACAACTTACCTACTCAAATTAAGGGTAAATGTGCTTAAATTATACTTATTTAGATGGTATCTGCATTGTGATGACATCATCGATTTTATGTCGTTTTAAGGCAGCAGAAATCCCAAACCTCGCTGCAACCGTTGGTTAGTTTTTCATAAATTTAAAATGTATGTTCAGGCAGGAAAATCGTGCAGGACCGCCGCAGCTAAGGACTGGATGGTCTGCATCCAGGAAAGGATTTATTTCCTCCTTTCTGTGAGCGAATCTTAAAAAAGAATCCTTTAAATCAAAAAGACTCAACTGTTTACTTTAATACTGATTTGGATCCATTTGTCGTTGGTTTAAAAAAAAAAAAAACTTTTTAATGTTCAAAGTTTAAAGGTAAAAAGTTTTTTCTTTGAAATATTTTAATATCCTAAATTCTAATATGCTGATGAGAAAAGCTCCAGTAAAACCAGTTTAAATGAAACCAGTTCACCAGATACCAAAACCCACTAAATCTGAAGTTGTTTATTTAAATATGAGGAATAATTACAGCCCTTTTAGCTCTGTGCTGCTCAGAGGAAATCATGGGATGTTTAGTCTTGCTTTTGTTTTTCTATCATTTAGAGACGGTTTTTGTATTAAACACAGCCATGTTTCCATGTTTCTATTTGTTGTGACTCCAGAAAGATCCTCATCAGATGTTTGGACGCTTCTGCTTTAACTTCAGTTTCAGGATGAAAGCTCCTTATGAACTGAGATGTAAAATAGTTGATCTGGATGTTGGAAACCAGATTCACAGTGAAATCGGAGCGGTTCTGAAAGAAGCGGCTCACTGAGGCCCTTCTGCAGGTTCTGTTGGCTGATTCTTTGGACGTAGCATCAGATCCATGTTAGGTCAACCAAAATACCAACAGATGCAGAACTGGACCCGGACACATCATGATCCAAAGGAACTCAGAAAGGACCGGTTGGACAGCTCTGATCCAGATCATGATTTCATGGACCTGCCGTAGAAACAAACATCTCGGCTTCATGTGAGGAATTGGACCAACGTTCCTCAGACCACTAACCCTTCACTGAAGGTATCTGAACCTAACGGGCTGAACCCACATGGTCCAAACATCTTTTTTCCTGCTACTAAAGATACATTTTTCTTTTTCAATGACCTAAATAGTCAATGGTTCTGGTTTTTAAATAACTTTTTATAACTGTATGGATCGGTTCTGCTGTTAGAAAAGTTCATGTTGAAAGAATCTGTAAACCTTTTTTATTTTACTTTATTAAACTTTTTAATCCTTTTATTCACAATTCATGATTTCTGATTTATTTATGGATTAAACCCCAGTTCTAGACTGGGGAGAACCAGTCTGGAACTTTCCTCCGGTTCAGTCTGCTCTGTCATTCCTGTAGACGGCGTCACTGCTGTGTCTCCAGGTTAGTTAATGGAGGTCAATCATTAAACACATTCTAAAAGTTTTCATTTAGTTACATTCCTTCTAACATATCAAACTCCATCCTTCTCACCTGGATCAGAAACCAGATTTCTGTTAAGTATTCAGTTTTCGGTCCTTTTTAGAACTGCCGTCCGTCCCTGAGTAGAAAGCAGATAGTCGGAGTTCTTCTATCCTGACTTCCTAATCAGAGTTTTCTGTTTCAAAACAGATGATGTCAATAGAAACTAAAGAACTCTTGAGTTCAGCTCATATAGAAAAATCATCAATGAAATGCAGAAATCATGATTCACCATGTCAACAGCAGCTCAATAAGTGCATTTAACCCCTCCCCCTGAGGAGCAAACTGGGTTAAGGGTCTTGCACAGAGCGCCAGTCTTTGGGAGTGGGTTTTGAACTCTCAACCTCAGATTTCCAAGCTCTATCTTCCAAGCCCTTTCGCCACCACTCCCCCCCCCAGAGTAGGACAGTTATTTCAGTCTGAGATCCACAGATTTTGATTCAGTGAGATTTAAATATATTAAGATTTCTATTAATTTCCCTTTATTTATTTTTTTCAGTTTCATGCATTAGTATTTTTTACAACTATCTTTGTCCATTTTAACTTTTTTTTATATTAAGTTTATATATGAGCAGCACTTTGGTGTTATTGTAGGGTATTTACATATAAAACATATTAATGTAGCAATTGTAAATTAGATGTAGAAATAGGTTTAGACCATCAATATACACTCACCGGCCACTATATTAGGTACCCCATGCTAGTAACGGGTTGGACCCCCTTTTGCCTTCAGAACTGCCTCAATTCTTGGTGGCATAGATTCAACAAGGTGCTGGAAGCATTCCTCAGGGAGTTTGGTCCATATTGACATGATGCTCAATTGGTACCAAGGGGCCCAAAGAG